GCGGACCGAGGCTGTCATCATTGGCCCTTTCAAAGAGGACCAAAAATACTCGGGTGTGTTAAAAACTGTCATGAGTGCGGTTGACCTCCATGCGCTGGGTATCGAGGTCTCCGGTACCCGCAGACCAAGTCGGGAGCAGTGCTCCTGGAGATCCGGGGTACAGGGGCCCAGGCCGACCTGCTAGCTGCCAAGGTCAGAGAAGCCTTGGACGGCATGGACGTCCGCGTGCATCGCCCAGCGATGTCCGTGGTGTTCATGCTATTAGACATGGAGGAGTGGATAGTGGAAGAGGACGTCGTAGGGGCGTTGACCACTATCCTCTCCAAAGATGGAGTAACGACACCCGTCGATTCGGTGTCAGTCCGACTACACGGGAGCGGCAAGGGCCCCTTCGCGTGGTGCGAGGTTCCCATCCGGGCCTCGCAACCACTGGTCGGACTGACACGACTCAGAATAGGGTTGGAGCACGTGACGGATACGGGTCCCAAAGGACAAGGGCCCGCGCTGCTATAGGTGCCTCGAAAGGGGCCACGTGCAAACGGCCTGTAGCGGTCCGGACTGGACCGGCGCGTGCTTCACGTGCAAAGGGGAGGGCCACCGGTCAAGGGACTGCCCCAAGAAGGTGGGAGGGCCGGAGAAGCCTTCATAAGGCATCTCCTGTCCTCCTCACTCCGTTTGTGTGTAATTTCTGTTTTGTGAATTATTACGTAAGCCAACCCTCGCGAAGTCCTGCCCCCACCTCCACGTGGTGCAACCCGGACAATGGATCCGGCTAACGGGGGAGGCCACACAACGTTGTGAATCAGCTCTTGATTAAATTCGGGCTGATTCACAACGTGGTGGTGTGATTTTTAGACGGCGTGGGCCGCCCTGAAGCAATACCTCGCGGTAGTTCCAGGGCGGTCCACATCATGCCGGTTTGGAGAAAAAAAAAAAGAGGGGCTGTGGAAGTATTCTTATCCCCTATCCACAGAGAATAACAATTTCTCTTAAACCCTACCGCTTATTCGTTCACTAAAAGTGGCTTATATCACGGCTACCCTGCATATCTGCAAGGCTAACAAGCGAACGAGGGGCTCGCTGTCCGCGACCATTTATTCGTCAGTCCAACAAATGAAGCGCAGCGAAACGGGATGTGTAGTATACCACCAATTTATAAAAAAATGAAATAAAAAAAACCCAGCACAAGGGGGTCGCGGCACAGTGGTGACGTGGCATAGTTGGATCAAGTATAATGATATCTGACAGTGATAAAAATCACTATAAAAAAAAAACGCTTCGATGCAATTCTTTAGATAGTGTTTAATTTTAAAAAATTGGATAACTCCAAAAGCTACATGATCTGCTAGTTCCTTATTAATATCCTGATTAAGATAAAGTATGTCAAATGAAAGAGAAATTATTAAAAAATATTATTTCTTATAAAAAAAATTGTGTTGATCCATACACTTTTCAATAAGTTAAATAGCATTATAAAGTTGAAAAAGTTGTCATTTTAAATCCCCCCCCCCCGTGATCATTTGACGTATCATTGAAAGAAATGGTGATATTTTTTTAATTTCATGAGTTTATTTCGTCTTTTATTATTTATTCAAACCGATTATAATTTTTATCATTGAAACTGTTATAAAATTATAAATTTTTTTCTTTTTAGGTCGGGAAAATAAACCAATCATAATATTGAAATGAATATTTTAAACTTCATTACAATAGGATAATTAGAAATAATTATTTTAATGTAATCGGCACACTACTCTTTCTTGAAATTAATCAATAATGAGAATATGGTACATCACTGAGCTTGTTAATGTTTATTTAAATCTTCGAAAAATACTGTTCACTATTGAATAGTCACTAATTAAGTTGCACATAATATTAGATAACTTTTAAAATATAGCTTCTTTTTTTATGCAATAAAAATGCATAAATATCACATTATTTGTAGGGTTTTTCGTTTTTTCTTGTTATTTAATCGTTTAAACTAAAAATAAACTACATCACAGGACTCCCAGTAAAATTTCAATACAAATTGATGAGTCACACTAATGTGAAATTTTTTTCTAACTTTGAACCCAAAGTTCAGGGGAGGGCGCAAAAGTTACAAAAAATCGAGTGACCACTCAATTTGTATGAGAATTTTGCGGGAAATATTGTGGTATGATTTATTTTTAATTTTAGAGAAATTCGGGGGGGTTATTTCAAAATTCCTCCAATTTTGGAGAAAAAAAAACGAGATCCTATTTTACACTTCACCAGAATACTCGCCCATACATTACTATGGTTCGAAAGATTTACACCCTCTATAACGTTTTTATAGTGCATGCATTTCTTACGATTAAATTTAGAATTCTCAAAACTCTTTTATTTATCTTACAATAAACATTAGCATTCTGAACAGACCTCCAGAACACGAAAGATACTTAATTGGGGCTCCGAGACAATTTAAGAAGTCGACGACAGAGCCGGATTTCTCATAGGAACAGCTTGGTAGCCAATGATTGAGAGCTCACATAAAGGAAGCTCCCCGAAGCTCAAAAGCTAACGAACTTAGAAGTGTGTACATCGAATATCCAGAATTCTACAACTACTAGAATAAAATCAATATTATTTATTAAAATATTTTACAATATTGTCATAATAATTTTATGACTTTACAACTTTAATGTATTTTGTTAATGTCTGAGGTTGAACCTAAAGTGTAGAGGGTTATAAGTGCAGCTGATTCGATTACATAGACATAATTATATCTCACAACTTCATTGTACCGATGACTAGGCTTATAACATTGACACAGTAACATACGTATTACTACAGGAGGGCAGACTGCACACATAAACACTTTTGGGATTCAAGGCTACCGTGCCATGTATTAAAAGTACCAAACGCCAATTGACTTTTTATCGTAACTATTACTCTTATTGTCTTACACATTAACTTAAATTAACTAATAAACACTTTATTTCCTCTCACCTGTTGTCCTCGCGTACATCTGAGATGGGAAAATCCACCTAAGTTTTATTCAGGACTTCTTATACTTATTGACAAAATTTTACGCCAGCTGTCGACCTGACGCAATCTTTTACGAATGGTATACAAGTCGTAAAAGTATTCTTATCTCCTTCCACAGGGAAAGCCTAAAAGCCACTTCTTTAAGCCTAAAATTAAGGGTATAACCTTTTTATTATTTTTACAACGACCAATAAATTTAATTTAATTGCTCGTAAAAAAAAAATTATTTTTATTGCAATTTAAATTATGCTGAATAATTAACATCCCTTTCGTTTATCTGGAAAGGCAACGAAGTTAAATATAAAGATGAACTTCTGAATTGGTATACATTTTTATTTGTATTTATAATAAGTGCAATCTCTTTGGTACTACATCAACTACTTTTTGACATATTATTTTATATTATATTTTATAATTATACAAATATTTATTCAAGACAATTAAGAGATAAAGTATCATATTTGTTAGTTAGGGTTATAAAACGAAATTTTCTTTCATATTTTTCTTCTAGCATTCTCGTAATATTACATTAAATATTGGTATAATTTAGAGTACACGCACTTTAATAAGACGTACAGTTAAAATNATCCATCACTATAGAGAATAAGTAAGGGCTAAGTAATAAGTAAGATCACAGTTACTTCTCCAAATGTTTAAGTTCTAAATTATATTATTTCAATCAGTGCTCGAATTGGCCAAAAATAAGTAGGGGAGCTCAACTTAACAATTTGAAAACTGCGTCCCTAGTATTTTGAAGACTTTTTTTTTTTTTTTACTCTTTACTTTATTTAGTATTTATTAATAAATCATATTTCATTATCATACTAATATTAAAAAAAAAAAAAAGAGGTGGTATTTTCTACCGTCCTCCCATCTTAATAAAAAAAAGTAGTTGGGGTGCGCAAAAAAATTTAAAAAAAGTAGAGGAGCTACGTCCCCCTGCGCACCCCCCCCAATTCGAGCACTGATTTCAATTAAATTAATCTTAAAAGGGAAATATTAACCATTAATTTGTTCAGTTTTCTATTGAATACAGCGTTATTTATTCACAAAAAATAATTACTAAGATCAGGTTGAATACTGCTATTTATAATTACTATGCATTAGGGTTTTTAGTGTAATTAATAATAAATAATATTCGAATTGACACACGATAAAAAATAAAAATTAAGTTAATACTATTATAAATTTCTAATTGATATTGTAAACGTGAACAAAAAACGCCCATGTCAATAATATAACTTTATCAACAATATTAATGCATTAAACATATAAATACCAACTATATGTTGTACATCACATATCATTGTGATTACCGGCTTGAATTAAGACATCACATATCTGAAATATTCAGATTCTAATCCCGACTTGGTTTCATATATATTTTATCATTACGATTAATAAAGTAATATTATCATATTCTTGCAAGTGATAAACACATAGTAGTTTAAAATCATGATTTGACAAAAATATCATAAACAGGCAACATTAAAAGGTATGAAAAATTTTAAATCCATTACAATAAAATTATTATGTACAAACTACAATCTAAATAACATAGAATATACATGTATCAATAGTACATTGGAACATTACTTAATTCGTAAGTTATGTTGTACAATAAGTATAGATTCTACGGTAAAATTTTATGATAATATGATACGCTTGCTTTAAAGTAAGCAGATTCAATTGGTCCTCTATTGTCAGAGCTCATTGACGGCTACCGATAGTAAAAAAGTACATACAACGTCTTTGGAGTGTATACAATCCTTTGTTGTTGGCGCGCGCAAGACTCTCACCACACAGCCGGCCTAGATTACAGTGTAGCCGTTCAATAATGCGCGGCATCGGTGACGCCTGAAAATTATTCATTAGCAACGGCGGTGGGGTGGCACACGCCGAGCATAACCGATGATAGCCTTCCCCCTCCGGCCACTACCAACGACAATACCGACCGCCATTTGCGTTTACCGAGAGATTATTAATCGTCCATATGTGATAGCGTCATTTCGTGTGTATACCGTTGATTTGTATGCGTTTTCCGTCGGCCACCCGCACATCGTGATCGTCCCGTTTTTGGTCGTCTGCGAGAAATATTATGTAGTGTGACGTTCTGAACTTAGTGCGAACCGTTAACTTAAGCTGGAGCCAAGTTTTTGTCTGTACAAGTGAAATAACGATGGATAACAGTAACGGCGAAGTGAAACTGCCGCCGCCGCCGCCGCCACCACAGCCGATTAACACAGTGACGGATCTCTATCAAATATGCCGTCTTTGTCTGAACACGTTGCAAGTGGACGAAGGTGAATCCGTTTTCAATAACCAGGTTCCTTCGTTGCCCGAAAAGATATATCGTGTATTTGGGGTAAGCTGCAAAATTTGTTTATGGCGGTTTTGTTAACAGGAAGAAAATATTGTTAACAGATAATGGGGAAAAATACAAAAACGTGATAATGCGGTCCGGCGGACCGATAATGGCGTTGCGCGGTTTTATCATAATTGTCCTCTGCCCCGGTTCCTTCGTTTTATCTCATCGTTTCTATTTTGATGATTATATGATATTTATTATGTATTAGAATAATGTTCTATGTAGACTACAGCGGCTACGGTCACAGTGTTGAACCTTGCCGTTGTCTATGACCATTTATTAACGGGCGCGCGCTTTATTGATAATGGCGTCCGCTGCCGCCTGATAGGCCATAACATTGTTTGGCAATATGTAATCACCAAACCAATGGTTCAACGTATTTTATTATTATGATATATTATTGTTTATATTGCGCGTTTTCTATTCATTACTTATATCTTCCTAATTTTTTTTCTCGATTCTATTTCATCATTCTACCAATTTTTTTTTTACCGTTCATAAAAAGTATTATTTTTATGTTTTTATTCTATCTCCTTTCTCATCGTTTTATCTAATCACACATTTTTTTTTTTATTGGTCTCCGGGAATAATGATAGTACCCATTTATTTCTCTCCCCACTCCATTCAAACAGGTTTTATTTTTAGACGCCCCAGTATCCTGTGCCCCTTAATAATAGAGTTTAAGCATTACATTTCTAGTATACATCAGTTTATATTGCTAAAACAAAATGTTTTACTGTCCAAAGATTAATGTATTCATTTATTGTCCTTCATGTATTTGATTATTGTTAGTTTCAAATAATGTATTTACTAAACTATTAAAAGTTACATTTTTTGATGAATTTTTTGGTTTTTTTTATTGAAAATTATCCATAAGGTAGAATAAAAATTCTATTAGCAATTACTTCTAATCATATCGAATTTATAACATTTTTTTTAATGATAGTTAAACTGCACTAAAATTTATTTGAGTTAAATCTACAACTTGTTATATATTAAATAAAATCATAATCCTCACAATTTTCTTTAATCAAATTATTTAATTTTTGCTTTTAAAATTCTAGAGCATATAATCATGTAAAATATATTTGAGTGAAGAAAAATATTATTAACCTGATTGTTGAAACCTTTTAAGATATAAGAATTTTATATTTTCAAAATAAAACTTGGTTAAAAAAAAGTTAATTGTAGTATTTTAAAATAATATCCTTAAATAAATACAAATATTTATTATTCTTTGAAAATTTCAATATAGCATAACAATTATTTTCATTTATGTGGACTGATTATTTTATCATATGAAACTATTAATTTTTATTTGTTTTATATAACTGGTAACAGGTAGTTTTTTGATATGAAACAGCTATTATTAAATTTAAAATCCATAATATCTCACTTGTAATTTAATTTTGAAAAAAATTATATAATTTATTTTATTTTTAAGGTCCAAATTACTGATGCTAAGGATTTGCCTAATAAACTTTGCTCAAAGTGTGTACAAAATACAGAACAATGTTACAGTCATAGAGAAACCTACAAGCGTCAAGAACGTGTTCTTCATGATATGCTTAAAAAATCATCAGCAGTAAATTTCTTCTATTTTTAATTTAACTTTGATTCAATCTTTATAGATATGACAAGCAAAACTTATATAAATGTAATTATTTCGTAGGAAGAAATTAAAAATTCTCCAAAAACTGAATATGTATATAGCCCTGCTGATTCAAATCATTCATCATCTTCAGGTTTAGGAGTTGATGCTCGTTATGTTAAAACTACAAATTCTGCAAGTAATAATAATTCTACTACATCACCACCTTATGAAACTAATGCGTCACTTGCGTCGCATGGTAAGTAAAATGAATTAAAAGTTAACATAAGTTTAAGATATTTAGATGAAAGAAGTCTGTTATGTGTCCCATCTTTCTATTCAGTGAATATGAAAATTATGTATTCTACTTTTAATTTTCCTTGAAGAGAAAATTTTTTAGTCTTAAATTTATCAAATTAAAAAAATTGTTTTTAATTTATCTAAATATAATGTAATAATTTAAAAACCTTTATAATCAGATATTATTAAAATTAAAAATTAAAGTATATACTCAATAAAAAAATATTCATTTCTAGTACTAGAAATATTGTATAATAAAAAGTTGCATGTGACATGTATTTTAATTCAGAAAATTATTTATAAATATATAGTTGAAGTTATTCAAGGTTGTGATGAAATGGCCGCTGAAGTAACAATAGCTCATGATTCAGAAGAAACTGTATCTGGTGATGATACTATCTGTACAGATAACAATGCTGAGTATGGTACATATAATGATGATGAAAATATTATCGTAGTAAAAACTGAGCCTGATGATGAATATGAAGAGGAATAGTTAGTATCTTAATTTAAATATAATATTATTTTTCATTAATTTAAAGTTATTATTATAATAGTAAAAATGATGATGGCTCTGAAAATTATGACCACCAAGGGGGACCAAAGGTCATTGCTAGTGTTCAGTTTCCTATTGTAAATGGTACAATTGTTAATGGTACTCATAAAATTGGTCAAAAACAATTCTCTCTTGTGAACTGCATTCCAACTTCTTGGGTAACTATTTTTTTTTTTTTTTATATATACTTTTAATAAAAACATTCAAATTATTTTTTATAGACGTCAAGTACTGGTAAAGATCGTCGTAAACAAAGTTGTCCAACAAGAGCATTGGAATTGAGTGGATTCCGAGCACAAGTTGCTGGAGATGACACTAACTCTTCAGATGAAGGAAATGGTCCTAATTGGACAACAAAAAAAATTCGATCTAATTCACCAGCAGTTATTGTTAAGCCAGCTTATGCTTGGCCAAATTTACAAGGTAGTGGCCAAACACTTATTTTTCAAACAAAGGTTAGTTTACTTACTATTCATTATTATCTCTCTTTATCATTTTATACAAATAATTTTGATATTATTTATGTTTAATTTAGCTATAAATTAATATATTTAATACTATTATAACTATTAGAAGTTGTGTAAAATACATAGAATTAAAATATAATAGTGTAACATAGTTATTAAATTTTAAACATAATGATAATTAATAAAAAAAAAAAATTTAGAATCCTGATGGTACAACTTCAGAATTACGTCCTCAAGTGATGCAAGTTGGCGAGTGGGCTAATAGTCAAGGACAATCTAATGCTCCAACTGATCCTTCAGATCGTATGGGCATGTTACTTTTTGCAGCCACACATATTCAAGAATTATCTACTGAAAGTGATGATGGTCAGTCACCTGGTACTCCTAAAGGAGCCACTGTAGTTCGTGGCAAACTAGTTTCCTCTGACCAAAAACGTAAAATTTATCAAACGCAAGCCACAATAAGACGATATTCAGATGGCCATCAAGTACAACAGCAAGTTAAAGATATGAATGCTTCACCTAATATACCTAGAAAACGCACGGTAAAATTTTTTTTTATCACTATTGTTAATGTTACCTTCAGAAAATCATAACCAGTCTTAGATAATGTATTGTTAATTATTATCTAAAAAAAAGACTCAGTTTAGGTTTTAAATCTGCAACACAAAAGTCATTGTGTTAAAAAAAACTTTACTACTTTTGTTTGGTTGGGTTTGGGTGTATCAATACACTTTTGTTTTAAGTGATATGATAGTGTGTGATGAATGCGATACATCATATTATAACTTTGATACATGAATAAATATGAACATTCTTATATTATTTTTTAGGCCAGGGAATCGTCTGTTCAAAGAATGTGTAGTAATTGTGGAACAACTTGTTCAACAATATGGAGACGATTAAATGAAGATCCAGTTTGCAATGCTTGTGGATTATATTATAAACTGCATGGAAAAATAAGACCCCCAACTATGCGACGTGATACTATTCACACCAGGCAACGTAGAAAACGTTCTGATAATGGTTAGCATTCTCACCTTTTTACTTTTGCTAGAAAGTTTTTTTAGTACATTTTTCTTCTTATATAATCTTGAAATACACTATACACCTTAATATTTAAAAAACAAAAAAAAAAAATTCGGACGCCTCCTTTCTATCATAAACTAACAATTTCCTAGATACTTTATTATTCACTTGTCATGTAGTAGTACTTAGCTAAGTGCCAAATTTGTATTTTATTATTATTTTGTTGGTACACTAATATATTTATGCGATCACAGCACATTAAAACTATAATTAAATGGTGGTCAGGACAAAATTACAAGATTATTGAGCAAGCTTCAGGTAAGAATGCCAAAGCGGTAACACTAGATGATATTAAGTTTTAACTCATGTTAATTTTTTCAATTTAATTGCTTGTAATGCTTAGATTTAATAACTTATTTTTTTGTTTTAACTTAATTACATATTATAACAGCAACATTTAAATTATAAGAATAATTTTACTTTGTTGACACAACCCCAGTATTTTAAGCAATAAACAAATTCAAATTAGAATGTATAAAAACAAACTAATGTGAAAATAATTTTAAGCCTTGATTATTGACATTTTTTGTGAGAATTAAAATATGGGACATAGTTCATGTTTCTATTTTCAAAAAGTTGTTTGTAAAAAGAAAACTATTATTAGATAAAATATATTTATCAAAAGTAATTTGGTCTTTTAAAATATATTAAAGTTAATATATTCAATAGAAAAACAAATAACTGAATTGTTTTTACTCTTTAAAATCAAAATTTGTATTGAAACTTAAGTAAAAAATTTCTATGTGGCATATCTTTTGTTATTTGTCTTTTTTTCACATACTTTTAAATTTATGTGTTTGTACATTTTTATGTTTATTTGAAATTTTTTAATGTAACTGTAGTTCATCTAAAAATATAGTATTATGTCAATCCTCAAATATTTTGTTATAGTTTTTTTTTTATTTAATATGTAATATACAAAATGTGATGGGTGAATTAAACTCTTATGGCTAGTATAATATGGCTTCTATATACATGCAGTTATTTTGGTGGTTGTTCAATATTTCTTGCTTAGTAAAAAATCAATTAACTTATTTTTATTTTATCATAAATTTTACTTGTATCGCTTTATTTTAAAAACTGTAATTTTATTTATATTATTATAAAATCATTTTTTTTATTTTTAATGGTATATTTTATAATTATATTGGTTAAAAAGTGAAATGAAAATGTGGAAAAAAACTTCCCTATAAACGGAGTCGTCCGACTTGACTTTGGAGCAATGAAAATACTTAACAGTTTATTCTTATATAGGTATGGACATAAGCATGAATAAGAAAAAAATCAAAATTAAAAAAGTGGAAGCCATAAAAATAGATGATGATGAAGGGTATGAAGTTGAACAACCACCATCTCCTAATTCTGCAGCTGTTCAAACAATAATAGAAGAACCAGTCCATGATGAAACTCCATTGAATCTCGTCAACAAATAAATAATTATGTTTACCTTATAAGGTTTGGTATATTCCTCATATGTATATTTTTTTATTTCCTAGCATCTGTAAGTGTAGTTAGCATTACTTTAAGTATAAAAACTATTTTATTAAATCTGTATGTGTTCCTGTACCAAAGGTGTAGAAATCACAGTTTTATTAATTTATGCATGCATTACATAATTAACAACTAAATCAAATTGATTTCTTAATTACAATTTTGGTTGTGGAATCAAAATGTTAACTATATAAAAAAAAAAAATAAGGATAACTTAATGATTCTAAAAATATACATAATTTCATTTTTCTCTTTTAAGATTTTTTATATATTAACTGAACTTAATGTTCTATAAATATACTTAACTACCTTTAGATTATACTGAGTTAGATAATTTAATCAATAATTTAAATCATTTATTTATGTATTGGCAGCTTTAGTCTCTCTCCCTGAACACAAACTAAATAATTTTATAAATGAAAAATTGAGTTAAACCTTAGTGTATTATAGCTTTTGTATTATTATTATTTTAAAACCTTATTGACAATACAATATACTAACAATTTACTTTAAACTTGATATGTGAATATCTACCTCTATATAAAACTATAAACTCTCTACTTATTTTTTAGTCATACTTTTAATTATACTTTGTATATAAAAAAAATTAAATAAAACAATATAATTTTTGAAAAATAATGTTAAAGTTTAAAATATATCATGCATATATTTTAATTTTATAAATTGAAACTTTGAATATTTTTTTACAAATTTTTTCTTTTTTCCCATCAATATTATTTACTTTGTGTGCACAAAATGGTGTTGAAATGTATATAATGATTCACATAAAGAATATAATTTAAAGAAAAGTATAAGAAAAATAATGTATTTTTAGTCTATTAATAGTATCGTTTAAACAAACCATATACTTAGTTATCGAGCTTAAGTAACTATCAATGAGTTATTTGTTAAACATTATTAAGTTGAAATATTATTTTCTATTTTTTAGAATATTTATGGAGGTTATTGTACATACATAATTTTAAAATTTTATTATTTTAATCAAATATTCACATTCATCTCTACCAATCTCATGATATAAATATTTTTGGAAACAATGCCAATGATATAAATAAAATTAAAGTATTTTATGAATAATGATCATTAATTTTAAGGTTGTAGATGTTTACCAAAATTTAGGCCAGATTTTAAAATATAAATTGTACATTCCTTAATTATATTTATTACAAATTAGCATAATACTATTAACTATGTATTTCTAATCTGTTGACTCATATTTTATTTAATAACGTAGTTATGACATAAAATAATTAACATTTTGCTACTCGAAAAAAAAAAAAATTTTACTGTTGTAACGTATTTAATATTATTTCTACATATAATTTCAAAACTTAATAATAAAAATTTACTATCTACTTTTTCTATTATGAAAAAAATTACATTAGCAAGTAGTTTTCGTACTTGTTTTTGTTGTAAAAATTTAATCTGTACTTATTTTTTTAGTATTTATCTTAATTCATAGAGTATATTAATTACATGGCTAGAAAATTTAATTTGTTTTGCTTTCTAGTGTTAAAAATAATTTACTATATTGTTTAGTATTAAATTTTTAAAAATATTTTCTAACAAAAAAATATATATATTAATATGTCTTCTTTTTAGCTTTTATTAAATCTATACGGTTTTAATTTAAAAATGTATGTAAAAAAAATTTAAATACTTAGTTGATGATGTAATTAAGATATATTAAAATTTAAAACATTATTTTATTAAGTTAAACAAATGTTGTTAAATAGTATTATCCAATGTTTTCCCTTATCGTTCACCAACATTATTTTTTAATGAAATATTCTTTATTTTTTACTTGTGTTATATATGATGTAAAAAATATATTTTAGGAAGGTGGGGATATAAAGATTAGAACCGAGTGAAAATAAATTTTATCTAAATAATTTATACACAAAATGAGAATTATTTTTAATAATAAGCTTAGCAGATATTTTAAAAATATGTTGTGAAATATATATACTAACTTCAATATATGGAAACGCTACACGAAACTATAAATTTTTTGTGATCATATAAACCGTATGAAAATTCTGAAAAATTCATGCTAATAATAAATATTATACTATGGTCACAGTTAGTGATAAGAGGATAGTTCATAGCTTTTTAGAATATTAATGCCTCGAAAAAAAGATTTATTAAAATAAATAATGGTAAGTCCAACGCTCTATTTTGATATATCTAGGTGTGATAAAAACGGCCCTTCGTTACATACCATACAATACTAATTTTATTTATGATAACTATTATTAAATAAAAACAATTAGGAAATTATAAAGCAACTTTTAATGAGATAAATAAAAATTAGTTTTTTAAATATACAGCCATGAATTCAGTATTTAGAGGTGGTTCAGAAGGGCAATAGGCCATCAAGCATTTTTAGAGACTAATTTTAATATTAGAGAAAACGTTGATTTTTTTGCTCATCAATATTATTAAAACGTGATTCTAAAAAAATTGGGACATAAGTTCATGATGCCACCCTATACCAAAATTCTAAATACGACCTTGTTTAAAACTGACATAAATTAAATAGGAATTTTCGACCACTACGTCATTTAACCATTCCGGAGCGAGATCGTTGCCAACCGCCACTTCCGGTTTGGTGAGACATCCAGGCTGGGACTCAAATTTTTGACGCGGACTCACTTGACCACAGCCGACACTTCCTCTGAGGTGACCACCATGCCAAACTGTCCAAATCTAAATATATTTTTATAATACGTATTATTGTTATATATTGTACTATAGTACAATATAAATAGTAACTACTCTCAAAAAAAATGTACAAATGAGTAATACAAGTTTTTAACGTATATAATCTAAAGGAAAATTTTGATAATTAGTGGATGGATACAAAGTGCATTAAAAGATCAATACCCTTCTTCTCAAACTTAGAATTATTTTCAAATAAACGGACGTTTTTAAAATTTTATCTCTTGCACTAATTTAAATACTACCATAAACAATTGGAGACTAATTTCCATACCGACTGACATCAGTCGATTACATAACCTATTAATCGTTGTTACTAATATTGATATCAAAAATGCACTAAGAATTATGATAAAACAATCTAAATTAATAAGATTAATTATGGTATATTTTAAATTAGAAAAATTCTTATTGCAATCCAGTGAGTGAACGATAAAAATTGTACTGTTATTCGATAGGTACAATTTATAAAAATTGTCTTTCAAAATAAGTTGTAACCTTCTCCTTTAGTAAAATTATACTAACTATACTTGCTAAGAAGAAGACAGTGTTCTATCGGACAGATAGAAAATTGCAATAATATTGAACAAATATTACAACTGATAAACACCACAAAAATTTAATATCTACTGTAAAATTTAAATTTTGAAATTCTTCAAAAATTAGTAAGTTTATTTGAAATCTTAACCTTTAACAATTCAAATTATACCAAACTACCATTTAGAAATAATTTTTATAATAAAATTTAACAAACTTTTTAGTATTTAAAAACATAATATGAACAAAATTAAAACTCAATTTTTTTTAAGAACTAATTAGTATCACTTACGATACAAACTAAGTATTCTTGTAATATTTATGTACTTTTTTATATTCTATGGAGTATGTACTTTTTATTTATAATTATTTTATATTAAATAAAACTAAAAGTTATAAAATTGATTATTAATAGCGGGCTAAAATTTATTCTTCCATGGATTGTGTTATGCGCATTCGCGAGTAGTTGCGATGGTTCGGCCGGACAGATGCGCGGTATTACTGCGGCGCTGTATATTTTCGTTGTCTTGTCCCGTTTTAATCATAAACAAAAATGGCGTCTGCTGTGTCTTGTTTGGATACGATTCGCGAGTGTTGACGTTTTCGCGTTGAAATATCGGTGAAAAATTGTCGGTTTTATTAATCTTGTCTGACTACTAATTCCTGTGATAATATCAGAACATATTAACATAAGGTATGTAGAAATTTTTATGGGTTTTACATTTTATTTTTAGAAAAAAGCTTCTACTATTACATTACACTTATAGTCATTTTCAATTGCGACATATTAAAGTTGGTTTTTTCACCGTTTAACTTAGACTTGACGATTGATGTACGAAACAATCTTAAATGTATAACAATAGTCGGTGTATTTATTATATTTTTGTGTGATAGTCATTAAATAAATTTACTTTGACCTTTAATGAAAATATAATCAAAATACGGAGGATGTAATCAAAAATGTTGAGGTAAAAATCAACCGACCTATAGGTATTTAAGAAAAACGAACTTCATATGGAACATTAAACCTAGTCTGCGATAATTTTATATTTTCAAGTTGGAATTTTTAAAAAAAGAAGAATTAGTCTATTTAATTTTGTTAAAATTT